AAAATTATCTACCATAATGTAGGCGGGATGACAACAATGACTGAGGTAGCGTTGGATAACGGAAAAGCGAAAAGTTAATATGCGTGCTTGGAGGCAGGTAAGACCTAATCCCCCTTTGTCGGGTTTCTGGAAAAGACATTGTTTAGTAAGAAGGTGTATTTTATTTTTTGTGGTGGCATGGGTGGCTTGTGCGTAAAGCGCTCGCCTCTCACCAAGGTGACCACGGTTCGAATCCTAGCCGCGGAGGTGAGTAGAGTTGTGCGTTGGTTCTCTCCTGTGCCACGAGGGTTTTTCTCCGGGCCCTCCGGTTTTCCTCCCTCCGGAAAAATCAAACAGTTTCGATCTCAGGCTGTGCTCCGTGGTCATATATGGGTCGATGTGGCCGGCAGCCATAGGCGCCTTTACGTGCCAGCGGCCCGACCACGTTGTAGCCGCGTCCTTCGCAATTCAGCGTACCAGCTGCGAGTAAGGATGATTAGCCTCCCAAATTATTGTTATAGTTAATATTATTTGACCCGACGATATTGACGAGCATTTCTTGAAGTTTTTTTCAGACTGAGTCTGGCGGGGAAAGGACGGTGAGGCAGTGAAAAATGTTGGAGGCCGCAAGTTGGTTGGCAATGAGTATTTTTCCTTTGAAGGAGATGGAATGACAGAGAGATTGCCAACGGGAGAGAGTTTGATTAAGCTTCTCTTTGCATTTAGTCCAGTTTAGTTGATTGTACTTGTTGCTGTTACCAAGATGAACTCCAAGAAACGCTAATCCCTCGTTATTCCAACGAAAACCGAGGGGTCTATCATTTCTTCTAATCCAAGATCCGACCCATAATCCCTGAAATTTATCATAGTTAAGTCTAGCAGCAGAGGCTTGACTAAAGAGGTTATACACTTAATTGATAATTTTAAAGCCGGCGTCAGCAGTGATAAAGATGGAGATATCATCTGGGTATGCCGAGTCCGAGCAGTATTTGTTGGTGCCTGGAAGGAGAAAGCTGTTTTGATTGAGGTTGTTTCTGAGCGAGTTTATAAAAGGTTCTATGGCTATGGAGTATAGCAGTCCCGATAGAGGACAGCCTTGATGGATGCCCTTTTCGAAAGGGAAAAGAAATGGTTAAAGAGCCGCAAATGTTGATTAGGCTCTCAGCGCCACTGTACAGAAGATTGATGAAGGACAGGAAACGTTCACCAAATTCCATGGCTCTCATTGTGTTGAAAAGGTAGCAGTGGTCAACATTATCAAAAGCTTTCTTTTGATCAAGATTGACCACGGCTAAGGGAAGGTCATTAAAGTTGGAGTGATCAATAACATCTCTGATCAAGTTAATGTTATCATGCACAGTGCAACCAGGAACACAGTAAGATTGATCCTGATCTACAATGGTACCAATACACTGCTTCAGTCTACCTGCAAGTAACTTGGCAAATATTTTATAGTCCGTATTCAGAAGAGAGACGGGGCGCCAATTGGCTATGTCGGAGAGGTCGCCTTTCTTAGGGAGAAGGGTAATAATAGCTTTGTGAAATGAGTGCGGTAGCGATCCGTTTTCTATTGCGAAATTGAGGACAGAATGAAGGTCTTCTTTAAGAATAGGCCAGAAAGATTGCAAAAATTCTGAGGTGAGTCCGTCTATTCCGGGAGTTTTGTCTTTGCCAAGTTGCTTGACGGCGAAGTCGAGCTCCTGTTGGCTTAGAGGAGCATCGAGATCTTCCGTATCAATCGGATCAAGTTGATGCAAACTAGACAGTAGAGGTTCAAGAGCGCCCTCATCGACAGGCCCACGGCTATACAGAGATTTATAGAATTTGTGGATGTGAGCTTTGATCTCAGCAGGGTTTTCAGTGACGGTGCCGGAATCCAGACGAATATTTTGAAATAGTTTTAGATTGAGACCTGCTTTTCTCCAACTTGAAAAAGTAAGAGGAGCTTGAGTCCGTTTCATTTACGTGTTTGAAACGTGACCTCATGAGGGCACCTCGAACCTCATGTTTAAGAATAGTATTAAGTTCATTTCTTCGCTCTTTATCTTGCCGAATTTCGGGTGTGAAGTCTGGCGCAGATTGAAGATTATCGATCCGTTGATTGATAGTTAACAGAGAATTGCGTTTGTTTTGGGCCATTTGGGTGGCATACATTTGAGTAATGGATTTAATTTGAACTTTTCCAAAGTCCCACCAGGTGGAGACATTTGGAAAATCTGGCTTCTTTTGTTGCCAGTCGGTCCAAAATAAGTGGATGATTTCTCTGTAGTTCAGGTCCTCAAGGAGAGAGTTATTGAAATGCCGATATGCGCTCCCCCGAAGTTTAGGGTTAGGTAGATTAATAGTGAGGGAGACAGCAGAGTGATCAGAGAGAGAACAAGGTATTATTTTACAGGAACGGGTAGAAAAAAGGAGGCTCGCAGGAATGTAAAAACGATCAAGCCTAGCTTTAGACATTTTGTTGACGCTTGAGGGATTATCTCTATGCCAGGTGTATTTTTTGTCAACTGGGTTTTGTCTGCGCCAGACGTCATACAAAGAGAGGCTATCAACAGCTTCTTTGAGAGCCAGGGCTATTTTGGGGCGATGCTCGGTCGGCATACTCAGACGGTCTAACAATGGATTGAGTGTGCAATTAAAGTCACCACCAACAATAATGGCACCGTCGCTGTAGCCTTGGTCAATGCTCTCGTAGCCTTGGTCAATGCTCTCGTCGTTATTCGTCCCGTACGCGGTCAATCATCGGCATATATCCTCACGCGCTATGCACATGCATGTAAAATTACAGCGCGAACAGCGACCTCACGCGGCCAGTATTTTTATATGCAAATCAGTTGGGGACAATCGAGAGCCTTGGTTCAATCGTCCATGTGAGGTTTTGGGGTGGTGCTCATTATGTTAATAGCCTAAGCTGACCTTAAATGTCGTTTTCTTATTGGTCGATCGTTGCGTGGAAACTTGCATAGTGAAACGTGGCACCGTACATAATCCATACACGTACACGTTGTGTGTCTCTGCACACGGCACCAATGCACAAAAATTGCGGTTCCTGTCACGTCCGCAAAAGGCGAATAGCCGCAAATAATTTGATGACGTCCGGATTTACCAAGTTGTGATTGGACACTCCACATATTAGCCCCACCTACACTTATCTGTATTCGCATACGAGGTCGTGCGCTAGGAATCCAGCGCAAATAAAGAAACACATAAGCTTTTGCCGACGATTGAACCAAGGCTCGAGATCGTCCTCAACCGATTTGCATAAAAAAATAGTGGCCGCATGAGGTCGCTGTTCGCGCTATATTTTTACATGCATGTGCGCGTGAGGATATATGCCGACGATTGACCGCGTACGGGACGAATAACGACGAGAGCATTGACCAAGGCTACCATCGCTGATGCACTCAACGTGCCGATTGAAGCTACGAATGGCTCTTAAGAGTATGTCCACGAGAGGACCATGCAGACCGTGACAAGATGGGGGTCGGCGGATTTGGTTAAAATTTGGGGGGTAGGTGGGTCATAGGTAGCCTTGAGGTTGTACAAAATATTTGGCCAATCTGACCTCCGTAGCAGAAAAAAGAGCCAAAAATGTGTTTTTATTAGTGAAAAATGGTGATTTTCATGATTTTGGGGTACAAACGTTTAAACGCTTGCTGCTCAACAGGGGAAAGCAGCAGAGAGATGAAATTTGCAGGGTCCTGAGGTTGTATCCTTACCTAAAACCAGGTACTCAAAATTTAGAAAAAAATTGCTCTTAGGAGGTAACGGCACTCAGGGTACCCCCAAAGTTGAGTCATAAAAATAGCGATCTTTAAGTCGCCGTAGCGTCATTAGTGCAGGTCTTTGAACAATGACACTCAGGTGAAAGAGAGTTCTTATCATGGTCTTTAAGTATCAAGAATAAAAACATTGTCAGCAGTTTTTAGTATAAAATGGCAGGAGTCTGTTTCACCCCTATTTTTCGCTAGTAAAGGGGCGGGGAGGGGCATACAGTGCCCCCCCCTTTCTGTATTTTCAAAAGTCGACAACCAATTTTCATGAAGTTTGCTACCAAGTTTTATATTTCCAATTTGTAAATAATGACGTCAAAAATGTTTTTAAAAATCTTTAACAGAGGTTTTTTATTTTGCACCTTTTTGGTCAAAAAGTGTATTTTTCACATAATTTTTGTCTTTTTTGCTTGAATGTTATGAAAAATGGCAAACGTGTATATTTTTTCATGATCAATCAAATTAAAACCTATTTTAATACTGGAGACGCCATAAGGGGTGCTATAATTCCTTAATTTATCCCATTTTTAGGGTTGGGGGTTCACTTTAAATCAATATACCCTGCCCGATTTGTGGCAGAGGGAGTCCCCACAAATGTTCCTATACTCAACACACACTTGTCTTTTTGTTAACAGAAGTATCCCCCAATAGTCATCTAAAGAATTCCTGAGATTACCAGAACACAATGAAGACACAATGGGGGTGGGGGTTACACCCTGCCGCATATCGTGCACCAAATGTGGGAATGATGAGGCTTGGATGACAATGTTGTTATTTTTTGGCATGTTAATGTAACCCGAAAAATTAATAAACTTGGAAAATAATAAATTGAATGAGAAAAACGCTAAATGTTGGGGTACTCGTTGTCAAAAATGAGATAGACCTAGATGGGGTAGGAACAAGTAGAGAGGAATTTGAATAAATTGAAACAATGACAAACACATTTTTAGAAAGACCAAAAAAGACATAAATCTTATTCTCGATCATAACCCCATCTAAAAACACGTTAAAATTGTGCAGCAGCAGAATTCCAGTCAAACCAGTGAGTTTGGCGGTTTTGAAACATCATCTTATATTGAAAAAAAAAACTTTTTCATTTTGCCGACGCGCATGGCTACGGCGACGCGCGCGCATACCAGAAACCGGAGACTTTTTTTTTTGGCCTAAAGGAGGAGAACATGGAACCACTAATGCAAAAATGTTGGTAAAAAAGGATGCAATAAAAAAAATGAAAACGGGCATTACTATCAAAATTTTGACCACTTTGTGATGATTCAGCAGTTGTTTCACCGATTGTAATCTTCATGAGCCCATCTTCTTGACGTGGTGCTAAACAATGAAGAACTAGACCAAAGGCTTCCTTTGCCTTCCTTCTATAATAATGGATGGTGCTATCAGATGCTTCTTCTAATGACAGATGAAGCTGCCCATCAACAGCAGACATTCCACCCTGAGTAAGGAAAGTGTTCAGGGATTGCAGCTCCACATTCTTTGGTCAGGGGGTTGGAGCCCAAGAAGAGGCAAGTGCACCTACATCCTAAGTAATATCTCCATCAGTTGATGAGGACTCAGATGTATGCTAGAAATAATCATGAGAAAATAAAAACAGTGAGATGCGTGCTACATATAGGGTTGAAATACAAATTGATGTACTCAAAGAAGAGTGCTTACAATTCATCTGTGATAAATGAGATGCAATATGTCAAGGTCCATTCTTAGTTCACTCTCTTTACCTCATGAACTGAAGTGCACGCTGTGTCGGTGGGTTGGAGAGATGGTACACCAGCCGGCGATGTGAAATCACTGATTGTACACTGATGCTCTTCTTGTTCCTTAGAGAGCACATCGCTAGATGGTAATTGTTCCGCTGTCTGGTGCGTAACTGCTTGTTTGTGCTAAGATAGACAACCTCTACAGATACCTGAAAGTCATATGAACAGTGAAAATTAACAAAGTGTTAAGGCCGCAGCAGGCTTAATATTTTTTTAAAGTAAAAGATATAAAGCGGGGCGTATGTAGCCAACAATATTGAGCAATAGATGCCTTGAACAAAACCCATGTCATAAATTCCCCCCCCCCAAAAAAAAAAAAATGAAAAATAAGAAATCTTCTTTTATTATTTTATATTGCCTGTATTTAATTGCACTTATTACTTTTTCTTTTCTGATGTGGCTGTCTCTGGCGGATTTGTATAAAAGGGGAAACAAATCTGAAATTGTTCTTTAAGTTGTAAATGGTCTGAGTCACATCTCGTGAATAAAAGTAAAAAAAACAATGTAAGTGAAAAAAAAATATGTTTTATTCCCCAAACTGCGCATGTTCAGTGCAGTTCCAACTTTCTTTATATAAAACAAAATAAATTCAAAATCCAGCTCCGGCTAAATATCCACCATGTGTGTCCACTGCCGAAAACCATGTGTGTGGTCCAGAGCTGTGACAATCAGTATTAATTTTTCACACAATAATACATTTCACTGGTCCCAAGTCAACTGCATGATAAGGGATTTAATTGATATAACCTACCCAGGAACAAAGTCAGTTGATCAGAAATGGACCATGACCATGATTAATTCATTTCAATTTTCAAAAATGTATTTTTGTTTGATTTCTGTCTTCTCACCTGTTCCTACAGTGATCAGGGTACCCCATCGATCAAACATCTATGATCTCACGGCTAGTTGCTTTATTCACACCACGGAATGGTTTGCCTTTCCCTCTATGGAGTGGATGACAACATTTCCTTGATGATGTCCAACTCAACCCTAACTTGTATCTATGCGCTGGACGTATTGTCTTATCAGTGTATGCATCGACGTCGAACAAACCACAAGGCAGGAGGATCAGTTTCCACTCGACATTCACATCATATGCAGCGACTTTCCACTTCTGCAAATGGCTCCGCGTCTTTTGTGCATCGATTAAGTTGCACTGTATTTAGTTCGCGCAGATAAGAGGGATTTACACCACATTCGATGGCTTTGCTATACTCAAAATTACTAAAATTACATTGCAGCCGCACAGACGGGATGTCCATGGCTGCCATTTTGACGGTAACGTAATGCGAGGGCGCCCTCTTTCTACCGCGCGCTAACTGGGTGGGCGGCAACAGGACGTTCCCCTCCTACCGGATCAGTGCGCACCACCAAAGGTAGCCCACTCACCCACCCACCCAATAGGTGAAGTCTGCAAAACGTAGATTTTGTTACGCTCTTACAACAATTCCTGCAAAATGTCAATAAAGGGCAACCAATTGCACTAGGAACTGTCTAGGGGGCTATGTAAGTTTGGTCTTGAAAATTAGGAATTTTTCAACTTTGTTGACCGTGAGCAAACAAAAACAAGAAGAGCTGACAGTTTTTTATTTTTTCTTATTGTAGTCGGATATCTGAACTATATTTCCTCCAAGTTTGTTGACTCTCAGCCCTGCATTAATTAAGTTATGGTTTACCGCGTAAAGGACTTCATTTCGTAATAGAGCTGATACGTGTTTTTTTTACGCCTATATCTCCGCAGTGAATGCTTGCATATCAAAGATTTATATTTCATCGTTTAGAGGAGATTAAACCCTTTCTTTGATATGTAGGTCGACAGTAAACGATTTAGTTTAAGGGTATAAACGAGGCTATATCTTTACACCAGAAACAACACATATTTACTCCCCGGAAGTCACCCTTTTTGCTCAAAATTGTTGGTGCCCCGTACTCGGCCACCGTGTGATTATTTATCGAGCTACTCCACCGAGTGGTATCGTCTCAGGTGGGGATCAAATGGCCAAGATTTGAACTTAATTCGCTGACCCCCCACCTTGTCGATTTTTCAGGATTTTGCATGGTCTTCTCATAAACGCACACTTAAGGCACTATTGTCATTTTGAGGAATGTTGAAGTTATAGAGATTATAAATAGCATTGTTAAAATTAATTTTGACAAAAATGATGTGTCCTTCGAAAATGATGCGAGTATTGACGACATCAAGACATTTCTTAGTGAGAACAGTGACCCCTGATCCACGTGTAGGACTTGGGTTGCAAAGAGGGGTGTAGTCTGACCAAATATTCCAGCAGGAACATTTGGCAGTGAGGTTGTAGGTTTCTTGGAGTAAAACAATATCAGGATTATTAGCAATATGTTTAATAAAGGTTTGGAAAGAGGCGTTTCTTGTGGGGTCAGAACAACCTCCAGTGTTAAGCAAGATCAGCGACAGTGCCATCAGAAGGGGAAGGGAAGTGTAAAACCTCAAATCCATAGCAGAGAGAAAAGGACAAACTATAATTCAAGTTTTTTTATCAGTTTTTGAATTCTCTGCTGCAAGCCTTTTTGAAGCAAAGGACTGTTACGGAGTGGTTTTAGTTGCTTAACGAGTCCCGGGATGTTTGATGTGAATTTTTTTAGCCACAAACATCGTTTTTTTACTGGACTTAACAGTTGTTTTAAACTTCAGTAAGTTATCAGGGGATAGTGGACCACTTGACGCGGGAAGTCCGGCAGAGACGAGGATGTTTTCGTCAGACTGCGTGTCCTCCCAGGATATGGACTCCGTGTCAGTGCCCGTTTCAGAGGCAGGGGTGGATAATGTGGATGTGGTAGCATCAAGGGCTTGTGAGACGCTCGGAGTGTCGCGAATAGATGTGGTTTGGGTGTCAATTGACATTGGGGAGGAAACTTTCTTCGCTAATTTCCTCATGGACGTTGGGGATGATAACGGAACAAAACGGGAACGTTCGGTGATGGGCTCAGGAGTGAGTTGTTTTCGTTTGGAGACGGTTTCAGAAAACAAACGGGTGGGGTGCCCCAGATGTAAGTAGTGGAAGTCTTGGTGGGGGATTTGGAAGCAGAAGACTTGGTGTAAGGCGCGGCTGGGGATGCAATTGAATTATTGGGAGCACCAGGAGCATTTGCAATAGAGTCATGGGAAGTGCTGGAATTGGTATTTGAGCGGGTGGACCGTTCGAGATGTGTGCGTGTAGCTGACGCACTGGCTGCAGCACCTGATGAGGTGGGATCTGAAACCGACAAGCCCTCTGGCTGAGCGGCCTGCGCCGGGGTGCGCGGGTCGCACGGCCGCAGGTCCAGCACTTACCGCAAGGGCGGAATGCGGGTTGGAACAGTGGATTTGGATTGTTTTGCAGGATTTTGGGGGTCAGATTTGCTTTTGTGTACAAAGGTGGGAGGTGGGTTCAAAGGATTTGTATGACTTTCATTGTCAAGATGATCATTGATGTTTTTGTCCGAGTTGTTTTTTTTTGCAAGATTTACTTATGTGCCCAAATTCTCCACAAATAAAGCACCGAACAGCTTCTGTGGAGAGGAAGACGCGGTAGTTCATACCGGCATGGGTGAAATTGATGTGGTTCGGAGGTGTAATATTAGGTTGGAGCATAACTTGGACATGTCTCCTGAAGGACATAATATGGGACAGTTTTTTTTCCTTGAATCCAAGCGGTATAGGTCGGATCTGCGAAACAACCTTACAGAAACTGGACAAGTTCTTCGTGAGCACGGCATTGGGGATTTCCGCATAAACATTCGATAGAGTCAAACGGGTGGTTGGTTTAATAAGGGGTGACAGCTCGACATACGAATCTCCGTAAAGGAGGCCATGTTCGACAGCGTCAATGACGGTTTTTCTGGTTTTGAGATAAATTGCTATGCGCCCATTAGAGATTCGAGAGGCAGAAACAACTTCTTCAGCAGGAATGTGACTGACAAAAGCGTCAATGTATGATTGAATAGAGACATTGTCAACAGCACTGAATGAGACGCCATTGTTCCTTGTGACCTGCTTGAAGGGCTCGGTCTCACCAGGGACAATGTTTACTACGGTCGAGGGACCCGGCGCCGTACTCACGGTTGATTGCCCATGAGTAGGCGGTTTCGCCCGACTGGCCATAACGGCCAGTCGTGTGTATACTTATACAGAAAAATATGACCAAAACTATACAAAAAATAGCATAAATAAGGAAACCCGACAAAGGGAGATTAGTCTAGTAGGATCTATAAAGTATAATAACGACCTAGTAGTCAAAACTAGGACCATACACGGTTTCAAACTGAAATAATCTTACTGTTCCCCGGAGCTCGATGTAAACACGTCTTACCACCAGAAGAAGAAGTAAAAAAAACGTATTTACTAATCGCCAACCCACTCACCTTTGACACGCATAGTCATGTGTCCATCAACCATCGATCTGAACGCCGGTTTGACCTTACAGTAGTAGGTCCCTTCATCTGAGTTGGTAACATTTTCAATTACCAGAGATAAATTTCTGTTGATGTCATACACGCCCTTCGGGATGCCGTTTTGTGGAGCGACGTTCCCTAGGAAGAAGGAGATCAAGAGGTTTTCATCTAGTACCCCGGAGAAGTACCAGTGCATGACTTTGATCTGATCCAGCGGGATGCGTCTAGATGAGATGGGAGGGCAGGACAGGATGCCAGGGTTGCCTCGCTCCAGGAAGATGGTTCCATCCTCAATGTTACTTGCTTGGATGCCAATAGCCACCACAGAAACGACTATAATGGGGATAATGCACCAATTATTTTTTTTTTTAGAAACTATTATGTTATCAAAGTCTAGAGAATCACGATGGTGGAAAATCAACAGAACTAATGTTAAAAACGGAAGACTGCTTGTTGCATGTTACACTTAGATACGGTTGTTGTCTAGTACAGTTCGTAGGGCAGGTTTGGCAATGTTAATTCACCCCATAAGACCTCCATTTGATAGAACAGGGAAGTTTAATTGGATGGGGTCAGTCCCAGACTGTTCCATATTTGTAACACATTTTAAATTTTGTTTTGTATCACTGTTTGTAGCCACTTGATTATTGCAAAGAAATTTTAGGGTTCAGACAAATGAACTCCTCGTCGGTGTTCAAATACTATTCGTGCACAGTAGTTTAAAAAAATTTGAATAAATAATAATAAAAAAAAAACTTTTGAACGAGCCAAATTTGCAGCTAGCTATAGCTATTCGTTTTAGGTTAGTTCTGATGTCCATCGCTGATTCGAGGCCCCCATAAGAGCTTACGATAAGGCAGAAAATAAGTGTTTTTTAACGCAAATTGCAAACTAGACCAAACGCCATTGTCTCGGCTTGAGACCTTTTGTGCGTTTATTGTAACAATATTAGAATAAAAAGAACATCTGAGATACATACAACAAATAAGGACTATTGCATACATATCGCTGTTTTGATTAAAAGTATTGTTTGTCACACTTCAACTACTGATGATATACTCCTCGCTACAACTTTATAACAATGTTCACAGCGTTGAACAAAATATTTGACACACAGACCACTCACAAGTGAACTGATTCGATTCGAAAATTGATAAAAATTCAAATTTCAAGTGCACAGCGTACTTGGCGCATGTGCACATTCTCATGGACTGACTGAACTGCGGAATGGATGCCACTTACCTAGAACCATCCACAGGTCTGCTACGTGTGCTTGGATCATGTTGGAAAGCATCACCGCTGGAAAGGAATAAAATAAATATTAATACTCAAAATAAGGCAAAAATGCTTTTCAGAATTTGTTGTTGAAAGCTACCGGTACTCTCAAGCACTGCATGTACACAGCGTGAAGTTTTATCAGTACTTTTAGACTGTAATGTATGAGAAAGACAAATGGGGAAGGGTTCAAAATATGCATCAAAATACAATACGATCTGCCCAAAAGTATAGTCTGTGGGCTAGGAGGGGTCCACGCGTGCACCCCCCTATAATGCTCCTCTTTGGGTTTTATGCTCTGGCAGGAGCTTCTACATAGCACTTGGTGGTCGGTCGGTCGGTCTATCTCTCCCCAAAGATTGACCAAAAAAATTGACCAAATGCCTTGCCGTGATCAAAAATGCACTCTTGACGAAAGTTTTCGGAACCCCGGCTTGATTTCGATCGATGCGCATGCGCGTTTATTTTGCACGTGTCTGTCCCCAAAATTGACCAAAATAAGCCCACTAAGTTTTCCATAATTATAACTGCCAAATTGAAATAAGAAACCCCAAATTTAATACTTAACATAAAGTGTTTGTAACAATTCGGAAAGGTGT